AAATGGCAGCAGTGACTGTCGAAATATTGTGAAAATAAATCTGTGATTTGAATGAATCATGATCTTCTCAGCAGTTCTCTACTTCATTTCATTATTTAATCTTACTGCTCCTCGCTCTTCATTTTTATATGGCTATATGTTTCTTTTATACAATTACGTACTCAGTTAATGCCGAAACTTATTTTAAACGATGAAGAGAATAGTACACCCACAAAACTCTGTTGTAATAAAGAAAATGAAAAAAATTAAAGTCATACCATGAATCCTTTTCGAGAATTATAACTTTCGAGAATTAGAACAGAAATCATTAGAAGATGGAGAAAAAGAAGCTGCAGAACAAGAAGATTATACGAAAGACAATAACAATTTATTAATTATTATAGAATCTGAAGAATTACAGCAACAGCAATAAGAAAATGTTCACGAACTACCGACTTAAGGAAGCAATGTAGCTTTCCGATTCATTGACTACTACTGTTAAAGATTCACTATTTGAAATTCAATTAAAGACAATAGATATTTCATCAAATCAACTTACAAATAAAATAAAAGAATTATCAGTTTTATTGAGTGAAACAATACAGCTTAATTTGGTGAAATTTCAAAAATATGTAATACAACTTCCGAATAATCAGCCAGAGATAAGTGCACTATGTAAATAGTTGACCAAAAATTGACCCTCAATAGAAGGCAACCCGAAGACTAACGATGTGCCGAGACACTGTATAAGGGCATGGCCTTTATTCTGGGGAGGGGGGTTACAGTTAACTTACCTATGAATGTTGTCGTTCTACCTTTTTCAAATGGATTAAAAACATAAGTGCTTCTTGAGATACTTACCTTTATCATTCAAAAAGGTTATTCATAACAATGTATTCTCTTTGCCTTTACATCACTTAAACACACAGAAACTTCTGTGTTTCATCCACAAATTCACCGCTCGATTCGCACACAAGTATGGCCACAAGCGTGAACTCCACGTTCCTGTCAGCGCCATCTTCGAGCAACAAAGTTCTTTGGGGTTGGCAATCAAACTCTGATCCTTGCAATGATCAACAGCAGAAACAATGGAAGAATTATTCTGATTTAGAATGTGAGTTAATTGAAGAACGTTATCAGAAGAAACAGCGAGAAGTCGAACTGGGAGGTACCCATCTGATTGATTTCACACGAATGGTGCAAACGCGTAAAGATAATCGTCATCGAACAAGAAGAGTGAAACGAGAAGTAATTGATGCCATTCGATATACACGAGAAGAGAGATTGTGTTATCTTGAGTATAGCATCCCACAATCATTCGGCTATATAGATGGATGGATTATGTCGCAATTTATCCGTGACTGGAAGAAGAAAAACGCTTCAATATGTGATAATGAGCACGTGACTGCAATTGTAGAGCAAGCTGCTCAAGATAAACTTACGATAAAAAAAGAGAGTGAATTGTTTTCTGTGTGACAAAATTTAACCGAACTTTCCGTCAGTCACGCTAAATGCATCCACTTTTTCTGGGTAATACGTGTATATTTCTTCATTCACACTGCAGGTATCATCAAAGAAGGACAGTTACTAGGAAAAGAGTTTGATGGTCAATTGATTGCAGATCAGTTGCGTAAGGTAAAAAATAAAAGTTTGTATGAAATCTGGAAACGTTGCGTTCGTCTCTACTCAGCCGAAACATTTCTTTATAAATTGGTTAATTCAACAATGAGAAGTGAAGACGAAAGTAAATTGGATTCTTTAGGTGCTTACTGTTCACTATTAAGATGTGGACTGTCTTCAACAAATTCTGCGGTTTCTCCGACACCGCTTCGGCTTTATCGTGGTGCACAGTTAACTGAGAAGACGATCGGTGAATATCAACGAAAATCTGGATCAGTAATCAAATGGCTTTCCTTTACGTCGACATCGAAAGATCGTCGTGCACGACGATTTAATCCACATGTCCGCTTGCTCTAGCCAAATATGCCCACTGTGCGCTGTGCGCGAGATGGCTCGTTGAGAAGCGCAGGGGGACAAGGATGGTCTGAAATTTGCTCACTCATCGAGTGGTCCCAAGCTGTTACGGGATAGGACCGAGTCCCCTAGGATGCACAGATCAGTTGGGTTAGCCAGGCCTTGTGACCTCGCGTCGGTCCCCCCCTGGTCCAGCTGATCTGTGTGTCTGAGAGACCATTTAAAAAGCGCATACTTGGGCGGGTATGCTGATACCAGGGCCCGAATTTGGAGGTATTTTGGGCGTCGGAAAGCCGGCTGATTGTTAACTGTAGGCCGGTGACGCCCCGTGGCCCTGGTTTTTGTCTCTTCTCCTTGTTTTTCGCACATGGCATCCTCATCAACAAACACCTTCTTCTTCCTCTTCTATTCTTGAATTGAACTTGGACGAACTCTATACAATATACTACATCGATTGTGGATGCAACGAGGAGCAGACGGTTACGAGAATTCTCGAGGTTTTTAATCTTCAAACAACGAGGACTAATGCTAATGTGGATCTGCTGCAGCCAAAGATAAGTACTTATGTCGCCAAGCAGAAGGCAAAGTTAGATGACTGGAAGAAAAATCGAAGTCATGGTGCATATAAAGAGAAATTTTCAAATACAGTGATTCGCAAAACGGAATTTTCAGATCAAAAACCAGTTATACCCGATAAGCCAAAATCACCGAAACGGCCGACGCGCGATTTCAGGGAAGTAGGAGCACGTCAGAAGCGACGAAAACTAGCAGATCTAAATTCGGAACTAGACGATTTTGCAAGGGATAATAATATAGACGTGAATCAAGTTATTGGCTACCTTTTATATCAAAGAAATCACCTGACAAATAAATATCTTGCTAGAATAGGCGATGAGTTATACAAAATCGGAAACATAGTCGAAGAAGCTCGCACAAATCTCGATCTTGATCATGCGTTAGCTCTCAAAATTCACGTAAATATGAGCTGTTATGACATGGATTTTGTTAAAAATTATTTGACTGAGTCAATTCATATACCGAATCGAAATCTTATCAGGGAACATTCTCAAAGTTTACTACCAGTCGTTGAAGAATGCAGAGGAGGAGGAATTATGATTGAAAAAGTGCGCGACGGCATTCTTCTGACAGTGAAAAGACTCATCGATCACTTACTCAAACAGAATATTTCTCTCTCTACGAATTTACTATATCGACAGGAAAGTGGACATGATGGAGCCGGTGGGCAAAGCGTGTACAGAGCGAATGAAAATCCCATGAGTGGTCCCAGTATATTTTCTAAAATGATGGTTCCACTTTCTCTTACCGATAGTACTACAGGAGAGCCTTTCTGGCAAAATCAAGCACCGAACAGTGCATTTTGGGCAAGACCTATGGCCTTGATAGCTGAAAAGGAAAATGCGGATCTCATCGTTTTGTAAATGAAAGGTTTGAACCTCAAGAGAAAATACTAAGAGAAAATGGACTTGTGCTCGATCACAATGGTCAAAGCTATAAAATATCAGTGATAATCGAAGACTCGATGAAGGATATGAAAGTAAGGATGGTCGAATCGGATCTTGGAGGAGCAGAGTGTCTAATGTGCTTAATGCGGCAAGCGGACTGGAAGAACATTAAGAAAATCGAGGAAGAAAATTTCTTTGCTATTACTCGCACAGCGGAAAAGACACAGAAATTTTACGAAGAAATGATCGAACAGAAGGGTAAAATCATTCGAAGGAAAAATGACTATGAAGCAAGAGGAGGACTGACAACGAAGCCCATTTCTTTTAGTGACCATCATTATTTAACAGTAACTCATCAGTATATAAATGGTACTACATGGTTTCTTCGTATCTTTTATCATATTGTGGCAGATCTTCTAGTGTGGACTGTGATAGGCTAAGAGAATCAAGGTAAATTGAAGAAGGCAAAGCAGGTTGTCCTGAAGCATATCGAGGAGAGAACGGGGCTTAAGCTTGATCAGTGCGACTCCTCCTGCGGCAATACTGGCATGAGCACAACGGGTGGCCAGGGAAGAAGATTTTTTTCTTACGAACTACGGGAGAAGATAATCGAAGCCCTTCCAATGAAATATAGAGAGAAAGTTAACTGGCTAATGAAAACTTATTCTGTTGTATTGAGAGCTGTTTCTTCTACTCAATCCATCGAAGTCGACGAATTAAAGAAGATCACAAGGGAGTTCAGTTTGTTCCTTGCCAAAGAACTTAGTTGGATCGATTACACTCTGACGGTGCACAATTTAATTTTTCATGCTCCAGAACTTGTTGAACGAAACAATGGGGTAGGCCTCGGAGAACTCAGCAAAGAGACCTTGGAGAGTTGCAATAAAGACGTCCGCAACTATTGCGAATTCCTTTCCCGCAAATGCGGCCACATACCGAATTTCACAGACGTTTTTAACCGCCTATATGTCCGGTCAGACCCGGTTCTTCGTCATATCATCGACCACTCGCAGGTAAGAAGAAGTAAAAGAACAAGTATTACACAAGTCTTGGCTACAGTGAACGAAGATGATACTATTTTGAGTCAAATTCTATCTCAGTGATGTTTACAGTGATCTATTTTATTTCCTTTTAGTGCCGATGTGTGTGTGTTTTTCTGCCGTTTAGTTTCTTTTAGTTCTTTTAGTACTATTGATTTGCATGCGCTTGCTTTGATGAATTTTTCCTCCTCCAAGAAGGGAGACCTCTGTGTGGTGAGGAGGAGAAACGTTGACGTCTAACGTCAGCGGCTAACGTCCCTTCGAAATTAAACTTCAAATTTTTTTATACTTCGTAGTGTATTTGAGTTACATGACTTTCTAGCGGGTTTGACACGGTTTTTGCATTCCTTATTGGGTGATTTAAGTCTTTGAACGAGAAAAAATGTCTTTTCTGCTCTCTAGTAATTGCTACATGCTATGAAATTTTTCCCCTCAAAAACAGGAAACTTTTAGCCAAAAACCGGGTTTTCTGGAAAACCTCTGGAAATAAATGTTTTCAAAAATGGATTTTGACTTCACAGATGGATAGAGGGTCCTCGATAACCTATTAAAACATCTTTTTCATTAATTTTACACTCTTCTCAGTCGTTTAAATCCACATGTCCGCTTGCTCTAGCCAAATATGCCCACTGTGTCGTGTAGCAGAAGCTTTTGGAAACACTCTATGCGTTATCACGTTGAAAAATCTGCCGTATCGTGAGGATATATTCTCACTATCACATTATCCACATGAACACGATGTTCTTCTCGGCGATGGCTGTTGCATGGATATTGAAAAAATTGAACAGGACTGAAGTGAAAAGTATTTGATTTACCTTAATGATGATCGATTGAGTTATGGAGATAATTTTATTAAATTACAATCGGAAAATGACCCGAGCGCTTTCCTCACTTACCAGTTTGTGAAGTAACTCATCGGTCCGACGATTTGCAAACTGTTAGAGCAACACAAAATTTTTTATGATACGTTTACAAAACTCAGTTTCAAGCATAGGATAAGAGCTTTTACGATTCATTTTAATTTGATTTCCTTTGGTTTTTATCAGTAGACTCAGTCTGCAGATGAATCGCTAAAGCGTATCAAGAACGTTTTTGTAGAGAAACTTATCAAAAGTTCATTAAAAATCTATTCATAGTAAATACCCTAAAAGGATTCGGGTGCATAACTCTGGAAGACCCGGTTTTATGGAAAACCAGTTTTTCAGAAACTCTAAAAAATAACCAAACCTGTTCTTAATGAGTTATAATTGTAGCCCGAAAATTTCTGATTAAAATGAGACATCTCCCAGCTCTACACGCCCTTTTTTTGCAAAGTTATAGAATTTATAAGAAAAGCCCTAAACGTTCATTGTCAGCTTAAAGCTACAGAAATAAGAAGAAATTAATTTAGGGCTTTTCTTGTAAATTCTATAACTTTGCAAAGAAAGGTCGTGTAGAGCTGGGAGATGTCTCATTTTAATCAGAAATTTTCGGGCTACAATTATAACTCATTAAGAACAGGTTTGGTTATTTTTTAGAGTTTCCGAAAAACTGGTTTTCCATCTCTCTCGCTATCCATCTCAATCTCGCTATCATTGCGTAACTCTTCAGACATCGAATTCGAAATCTCCTAATCTCCTTAATGATCGTTATAGTTATACTAAGAAGGATGCGTCTTTTGGTACGAATATATTTGAATGTTTAAATCATTATTTGAAATCAGTTTGAATTTGTGAAACAGTCAGTTTATCAGGAAGTGTTACACGTCGCAATATTACCAACTTAATTAAACAAAATCTGACTGATACAAGTACCGAAACATGTTTAACTAATCTATGCATTTTTCTGGTCGCAGCTTTATCTATAACAAATAAAAACCAGATCACTACAATACAACATCCACAAACGTATCCTCAGTTATAAAAGAACAATATTTGATCAAACTGAAATACACACGACATGTGTTCATCTTCATTTGATCAAAGTATAGACGCACAAACGATAGGTACAATAATAGACGTATTCAATAACAAACTTCCATCTGCTTTTCAAGTTCTTTCGGGTTCCACAGCATCAGAAGAAAATATAGTATTGTTTTTCAAAAAAATTCGTATATTCGTTAATGAAATATTTATTGCACTTGATAGCGATGATGCATCGCTTACAAGAAATGTTATTAACAAAACAAAACAAATTATCAAAAACAATGGAACGACATGCAAAAATTTATTATTTTTCTCGGCATTTAATTGCTCAAAAGGGAATGAAACCATGGTTCATTGTACAATTCTCACAAACAGAAACTTTGTATTCTCAGATAATGTCCACTTATGCACATGCGAATATTGCCAAACCTGGTATTACAGTGGTAACAAGAAAACCTAACGAGTAGTGAAATACCACAACTTGACACATCCCATGGTGCTTTGTTGCTGAGATACTGAATTTTTAGTCAGTTTTCGCCTACAGAGCTTGGATTTCGAGTAAAATCCTACTTTTGAATTCTTATTTCAAACTTGCCACACTTGTAGCCGATGGTCATAGTAGTACGACGGAAAAACTTTCGGTGATAATGAATTTACCTGCCTTGAGATATTGAGACTCGAATATTTGACCCTCACCCTTACCTTTTGGTGAAATGTTCGAGTCTCAATATCTCAAAGCAAGAAAATTCATTAGCACCGAAAATTTTTCCGTCTTACTACTATGACGATGGGCTACAAGTGTGGCACATCCGAAATCAAAATTCGAAAGTCGGATTTTGCTCGAAATCCAAGCTCTGCAAGCAAAAACTGACTAAAAATTCAGTATCTCAGCAAAAAGCACCATGGGATGAACCAAGTTGTGGTATTTCACTACTCGTTAGGGCCTTTCAAACAAAAACAGTCCCAACCCGAAATCGATTTATAACCTCGGGCGGTTCCTTCGTAAGACACGATGAGTATTCTCTACTTTATTGATAGAAACGGTTCGATGCCAATGATTTTGAGCACTCTCGAGCCTCTTATCACGCATCATTTTAGACAAGAATACGGTTTTATAATGTCCTTATGCTGGTGAACAGGTATTGTCTCGTTGAGAAAACTGTACCCATTGGGCGACGTTACAGTTTCGTGAGACTTAGTGATGTGTGTCATCCATAGTAGGCATGAACCGCTGTAACCGAAACCGATTAGTACCGGCTTTAATTCTTTGAGTAAAAGATTAAGGTACTAGACCTTTGCTCACGATCAGATGTAAATGAACCTATTTATGCATTCATTACACACAGTTATACATTTAGGTAATGAAAACTAAATTTTATTTTCACGTTCTTACGTTCCTTTTTTATAAACGTAGTCTTTATCTTTGAGCCAGGTGAGAGGGAAAAATAAAATATGGATGAGTCTATTGGCACTCCGGGAGTGTCAACTAGGACCTATTGGCGCCCGCATGCAAAAAAATTTGCTGGAGGTGTCAACAAGGACGTCATCTAACATATAAGCGGTCTGACGTTTGAGGGTTTCTCGAACTTATACTTTGACTCGCACAATTCGGATTGTATATTCGCATTTTATTCGCGTCGTCATGGGCATCTCGCTCATCAGGGAGAGGTGAGGGCAGGTGGATAGTGTGAATAAGTGGAAAAGCTAAAAGTCTAATAGATGAAAATTGGTATTGACACCCTTTGCTGGTGTCAATAAGAAGATCATCCAATATTTAAGCAACCCAATATGCAAAGATCTCTTATACAGTCAACTGTAATGTTAAACTTCTTTGAACTCACCTACCTGCTACAATTTTGACATTCCTTCGCTGGTTGATGTCCATTTATCATTTCCGGTCTTGATCAATGCATGCGTAGCTTGTGTATCAGTCAGATCGCCTTTCTTCAACGAATTTCCCAAACGTCGACTTCCTTCTTCGATCAACAGTTGAGCCACTTTTTGTTCCGATTGAAGTTGGTGATGTTTCGAC